CACCTGAATTATTATAATTTCCCTTGATTTAACTAACTCGGAAAAGTTTTATCAAGTGGGCTGATGTTTGGGCTGTTCAAAAGAATGGTTTACGATTATTTGGTCTGGGCCTACCAATCGAAATTTGGTCTGATCCAGAGTGTAGGGGACTTCGGTTTGTAAACATCGTGCTTTGTTTCGATTTCTCTCATTCTACACGCGGACATTTTCTCCCTCTAGGGTTTCTGAAGGTTGAAATTTTCTCCTGGTTTACTATTTTCTTACTTTTCCTATGAGATAGATTGAACTTTGCTTCAGAAAACGTTTACGAATTTATTTTCCACTTTTTTGGGGGAAGGATTAATAAGTCGGAAGCTCAGACTAAGAAAAATGGAAAACGGAGGCCAAGAAATACCTGAAAATGCCAACGAACGTATGTAATTTGATTATTTTTAAGTTTCAGTGATATTTAATCGAGTTCATTAACATTTTTGATTTTTTGGATTTGTAGATTGCCCAGGGCCTCAGTCGGAGTCAGCTGGAAAATCTGATGCCTGCGATGGATGCCCTAATCAAGAGGCTTGTGCTACTGCTCCTAAAGGCCCTGACCCAGGTTCAATTTCTGTGTATTTATTTTCTCTGGCTCGGGATTTTAAAGAATTGTTTCTCAGGGTTGCTTCGGGTTTGTGCCTTTTGAATTGGCTACAATTATTTTTTTAATTTTTTTTTGGGGGGATGAATTAATTTCAGTTTGGTAAAATCGTCATGTGGATACTCACTTGAGAAGGATTCTAGGGAAGAAGAATTTGGTTTGAAATTTAAATGTTCAACTAATTATGGCTTGCTAGAACTACACTATGTTCATTTTTGGATAAATTTCATGCTTGCCTAGGTCAAATTTTATACTGTCGATCTCGTGGCATTAGATTACACTTGGTATAATCGTCTGAACCTTGACTTTTTATTTTCAAGGTGTTGCTCGTTAATGGAAATTCTTGTGGTTTTGTGTTGCTCGTTAATGGAAATTCTTGTGGTTTTACTTGCATATCAGATATATATGCAGAATTTTGCTTACCTTTTTCGTGTTTAAGGCATACTTACTTTGATGTTCCTCCATTCTGATTATTTATCATTTGTTTAGACTCTAATCTTTTTTATGTTATACAATTGTTTCTTTGTAGACTTGGTGGCAATTGTAGAAAGAATGGCGAAGGTGAAACACAAAATGTTGGTCTTATCTGGCAAAGGTGGTGTTGGCAAGAGTACATTCTCTGCTCAACTTTCTTTTGCCTTGGCAGCTATGAATTTCCAGGTTGGTCTCCTTGATATTGATATTTGTGGTCCAAGCATCCCAAAAATGCTCGGTTTAGAAGGGCAAGAGATTCACCAGAGTAATTTTGGATGGTCTCCTGTTTATGTTGAGTCGAACCTTGGGGTCATGTCAATTGGATTCATGCTCCCCAACCCGGATGACGCAGTCATTTGGAGGGGGCCCAGAAAGAATGGAATAATCAAGCAATTTCTGAAGGATGTCGATTGGGGGGAGCTTGATTTTCTTGTAGTTGATGCACCACCTGGGACCTCAGATGAGCATATCTCGATCGTCCAATTCCTCCAAGCAACGGGAATAGATGGTGCTATTATTGTCACCACCCCACAACAGGTATCTCTTATTGATGTGAGAAAGGAAGTGAGTTTCTGCAAAAAAGTTGGGCTACCGGTCCTAGGAGTCGTCGAGAACATGAGTGGTCTGTGCCAACCCTTGTCGGAATTCAAATTCCTCAGTGTGGCGGAGACCGGTGAACAAAAAGACATGACAGAGTGGGTTATTGCTCAAATGAGAGAGAAAGCCCCAGACCTGCTACAAATTTTTGCTTTTAGTGAAGTTTTCGACAGTAGTGCTGGTGGTGGTGCTAAAATGTGTCTGGAAATGGGCGTCCCTTTTCTTGGGAAGGTTCCTTTAGACCCTCAGTTGTGTAAAGCTGCTGAAGAAGGAAGATCGTGTTTTGAAGATGTTAAAAAATGTCCCGTAAGCGCACCTGCAATTAAGACGATTGTAAAGAAACTGTTGTCACAAGTCGAGGTATGAAGAATGGAAGATGGCATGTTATCAAGATCATGGTTCTCTGATTAAGATTTAGATTTTTTTTATTTTTATTTTTTTGCAATTTTCTGTAGTTTCTAAAATATCTTATGAGTTGTAATAATGGATTTGCAAGCTGAGATTAAATTAAAATTTAAGTAATTATAAGCTGTGGGTCGTATGTAATTTGTAAATAATAAGAGTAATAGTTCTGTGTGGATAAAAAATATGTTTTACTAGTTTGATTTATAATTTAAGCTTGGCCAAACATGCATTGAATTTGGTATTTCTCCTGAACTCAATTAATGTTAGCTTGTCTTTTTCTTATTCTTTTAAAACTTGATCAGTTATTGGGATGACCTGTATGAATCGTTTTTTGGTGATTCTGTTCTTTTAAAGGCCAGAGTTTTTGATGGATCTAATAGATGCTTAAGCAATTTTTTTGAGTTTGTTGAACTTGAGGTCTTTTTTGGCACGATCCATCTCTGAAGTGAAAACACGTGCTTGCATTTGGCAAGAATTTACGAGTGGTATATAAATAGATAGTACTTATAAGTTCATTAGAAATGTGTGATTGAAAATTAAGTTTAATAATTTATAAATTTTGAACAAACGGAGGTTAAAATGTGAGGTAATACAAATGTCTAAAGAGTGAAGTCTTTGATAAGCCCCCATTTGATAGTCATTTTCTTGGAAGAATGAGTTTTTGAATAGTATATTTTTAAAAATATGTGGTTAAAAAGTAGGAAACTGTTTGAGTTTACATGAAAAATATTTTTATTATGAGATGTGTGATTAAAAATTTGTGCACTTATTTGGACCATATTACTAAATTTTTATAATATCAAAGTGTTGGACCAATTTCTAAGGTCTGAATACTTTTCGTGAAGTTATTGAATTACATCTGCTCTAGTTATTGTACTCATGATTCAAAAGATCTCAACTGGGAGGCCAACTTGACTAATGATGAAACTCATGTACTAAGGATGCAATCTTTCAACAAACAAGAAGAAAACATGGGTTTATTCCATTAAATAGAGTTGGAATTTTTTAATTAATATTAGAATTTTGTCGCTCTCTTTAGAATTAGTTTTGACATTGCTGAATCAATCTTTCGTGATTGTTTGATTATTTGACACGGAGATAAAATGAGAATTTGTGTTGAGCCATTTATCAATTCACACAGAATCATCTTTTATCTTATTATCAACTATATACACTAATTTAACCACCTTTGGAATTTATTTATACAAGTAAAAAGATGAGAATAAAAAATTTTCTAATTTTTCTTTTCATTTTTCCTCCTTTACTGAAATATATTATCGAAGTATAATTAAAGTGAACATAACAAAGATTAAGCATAAGATAAAAAATATTCAAAAAATTATTATTATAAATAAATATTATCGATTACTCTCATTTATATATTTATTTATTTTTATTTTGTATTTTTGTTGATTGAACCCTTTTTTCATAAGATTATTGAATATACGAATTAGTAAATATGAGTTAATCCATTTGTACATAATGGATTATCCACTCTCACATAATGTGCGGGACTTGCGTGTATTTAATAATTTCGACAATGGGGATGAGAGTAGTAGGTAAAAGATTCGGTACATGTAGTAAATTCATGTAGTAAATTTCGACAATGGGGATGAGAGTAGTAGGTAAAACATCCAGTAAATATATTGGGGCATCCCAAGTAGAGTGACCCCTCTTAACCTCATTCCAACATTTAATAATTACTAGTCGTTGACATGTACGTTGCACGAGTTTTGTATTTGTTGTGTTTTTATTAGTGTAGAAATTGTAGATATAAAAAAAGTAGTTTAAGATTTATTGAATTATTTAGAAGTCTTGGGAGCATATTATTGATTCGCAAGGTGATTATTTCAAAAATTAAAAAATACCAAACAACATTGAAATAAAAGAGAAACAATGGTCTCAATAAAATTCAATTCCCCAGCATAACTACGTGAAAAAAAGGAATAAAAATGTACTAAAGATGAAAAATTATACAGTTAAATATTAGAAAATTAAGCAAAAGAAGAATACACAATATGGAATGAGCCAAAACAATTTATGAGAAATAAGATTTAGCGCATTAGGAAAAATAATTAAACACCTGTTAGCATTCTCCATCAAATTTTGTGCCCTCAGGCAATTTAGTTTCTGCAACAATAGCCAATTATTCTATATGCACCTTATCAAATGAATTTTCAACACATATAAGTTGACCAGATTAAAAAGTATATACATCATTAAAATAAAAAAGAAAACCTTATAAGAAAGTTCATTTTTAGCAAATTCGTCGAATATTTCAGACTATGTTCCACGTATCTACAAAATCAGCCTTCTTGCGCTTAAATATTAATTAAGCAGCAGTTTTAACTTATAACTAAAAATCACTCCTTTTCTAGAATGAGAAAGCCCATGTGATTGATGGTCATATG